TGCGAGAGAACACATTACGTCATGAAACAGAAATGAAGGAGCGCGCGGAAAGAGAGAGGAAAGCAGAAGAGGCACTTACAATGCGCGCGAAAACGCAAACAGTTTTTAGCACTATCTGTAATAATAGAAAGCATTTTCTTGATAATAACATGGCCGCACATACTCTGGAAAGGTCTTTAAGACAGATAGAGGATGCGTATGCCGAGTGTAAAACTGCAAACGATGACGTTTTAGATTTAGCAGACCATGACACTTCAGAAAATGCTATAAAATTTGCATCACAGATACAATGCCGGCTCGATGATATGACTGAAAAGCTCACGTCGTTAATCGGTCCAAAAGATGACAAAGTAGCAAAGAGAGAGACTTGCCCGTCCTCGAACCTTCAGTTAGAAAAAAGAGAATTGTCGCAATTTGAAGGAGAAGTTCCCGCTTATGCACAGTTGAAACGAGACTTTAAAAAACCGATCATGCCGCATCTCTAAAGGGACGATGTGTCATATGTACTACGTTCATGCTTAAGGCTGGTTTTACTAGCGCATAAGCACAAGCCCAAGAATAAGCGCAAGCACAAGCATAAGCAAGTGAGAACACAGAACATAAGCATCAGAGCATACGCAGGCGCAGTATCAGCAAATTCCTCGATACCAGTCTTCCTTGACCACAATCAAGATGGTGGATGAAGTTGAAATCTTTCTCTTTGCGTTCCTTGTAATCTACCGTTTTTGCTTACGAAGGCGACCTAATGCCAGAAGATCCATCAGACCTAGAAAGTTTAGGGTAAGGGAGATGTATCGTCGAAAAAAAGCTCAAGGGGAGTTCAATTACCTTGTTTTGGAACTTCGTGATAGTGACAGAGCTATACTTGCGGTAACCGAATTTTAAAAGTCTGCTGAAAAAACTAGTGTAAAAGGCTTTCACTCCGAACATTGTTGCCGCTAGCGTTTTGTTATTTTGCAGGCAAGTTTTTGTATGTTATTTTATTTAAAAAAATGCCCTGAAAATAGCACGAAAATATAAACTTGACAAATATATTTTTTGCCTCAGTACTGTGTTACTTTGTATGTGCTACTGTAAATTTTTAATTCCAACTTTAGTTCAACATGATGTTACAAGGGCACGCTCGAAATATTATTGTTCAAATATAAAGTTCAGTCATTGGTTCATTGAATGATTATTGGTCTCATTTTAGTTACATGAGAATGTCACGAGTGTTTTGATTGCCTCCTTTCCAAGGTTGGCCCACTTATAAGAAGCAAGTTATAAAATTCAGACAGCCTATCTCACCATCAGAACGTCTTGCACTGACCATACGAATAATGGCTT